TAATCCTGTTTTCTTGTAATGTGTAACGTCCTGTTTCCAGTTTTACAACACACACACATACACACAAGAACTTACTTACCTGAATTAAAAATTTGAGCATACCTGCAAGCTATCTGAAAAAGACATCTTATGAAAAAGCACTTCCATCATGAAGAGAAAACATAGAAAGCATCATAAAACATTTTGTGCCTATATTCCTCTTTAAAGAAATTTGATTTTTTTTTATTTATTTGAGATAGAGACAGAGGGAGAGAAAGAAAAGAGTGAGTGTGCAAGGGGGGGAGGGAGAGGGACAAGCAGACTCCCTGGTGAGTGGGGAGCCCTACTTGGGGCTGGATCCCATGACCCACCAGATCATGACCTAAGCGGAAATCAAGAGTAGGAAGCTCAACCAACTGAACCACCCAGGCAGCCATAAAGAAATTTAATTATTTATACACTATATGTAGGTAGAAGTTTGAAAGATAAAATGAAAGACAAAAGGCACTGAATCTGTGGGAAAATAAACATTTTAAAATGCAGTGGGTTTTGATGATTGCGTTTGTATTTAATCTCCTCTGTTCTGCAAAAATAAAATAGAAGAAGTAAAATATGGAAGATAATTCAGCAAAAAACACTAGTTAAATAATGATGAGACAAAATAAATTAACACACCATAAAAGTTTAAAGGATTTCAATACATAGTTTTCCTAAGAAAGAACAAATAAAAAGCATAGGTATAATTATTTGAAAGGTGACTATCAAAAATGGGTTTTAAAAAACCAAATCATTGTATAATACTTAGACAAATTCAGCTTATCTGCAGCAAAACTGTTCGATCAAGTATGCAGATTACAAAGCTTAATACTTTTGAGATAAAGGCTTGAACTAAATAGTACAACCCCCCCCCTTTTCCATGGGGGGCACATTCCAAGATACCAGTGGATGCCTGAAACCAGGGGTAGAACCAAACCCTATTAGACTGTTTTTTCCTAGACACACATACCCATGATAAAGTTTTATTACAAATTAGGCACAGTAAGAGATTAACAACAATAATAAAATAGAATAATTATAATATACTGTAATGAAAGCCATGTGAATGTGGTCTCTCTCAAGATATCTTTTTTTTAAAGATTTAATGTATTTATTTGACAGAGAGAGACACAGCGAGAGAGGGAACACAAGCAGGGGGAGTGGGAGAGGGAGAAGCAGGCTTCCTGCAGAGCAGGGAGCCCGATGCGGGGCTCGATCCCAGGACCCTGGGATCATGACCTGAGCCAAAGGCAGACGCTTAAGGACCACCCAGGGGCCCCTCAAGGTATCCTGTGCAGTACTCACCCTTCTCCTTGTGATGATGTGAGATGATAAGATGCCCACGTGAGGAGATGAGGGGAGGCGAGTGACGTAGGCGATGTGATGTAGTGTTAGGCGACTTTGACCTCCTGATGCTGTATCAGAGGAGGATCATCTGGTTCCAACCACGTTTGAGTAACTGAACCCGTGGATCTGGGGGGCACTCCTGTACTACAACACTATGAAGAGAAAGGGCAGAGTGCTGACTGTTTCTCAGAGTTTGCTGCATGAACTCCGGGCTGTCCCTAGCTGTTCACAGGATCCCAGGAGACGCCTTTCCATCTTGGCCCCTGGCCACCCTCCTCAGTCCAGCATCGTTCCTCCAGCACACTCACACAAACACATTCACACTCACACATACTGTCACAAATACCACACACACTAAAACACACTCATATGCACACGTCACAGACTCAGTCACACACAGATACACACTCACAAATACCCCCCCACACGCACACACACACACTCACATGTACATATGCCCTCCCCTTCTTTCTGCTTGTCCTGCAGGTCCCTGACCACATCCCTTGCAAGCTGCTCAGCCTTTGCCACAGCTCCCAGGTCCTACGGACCAAACCCACAGCCCTGCAGGGTCCCACATTTAGACTCACCAGCCCGCCCCACTAGACTAACATTAGAGACAACAGAAACCGTGTGTTTTTCACCTGACCTCCTAGCACAGAACAGTGCCTCGCTTATAGTGAGTTCACGGTAAACTTTTGTTAGAAAAGAAATGAACTTCAACTGATACCTGAATTGCAAGGATGTCTCTCTCCCTCCCTCTGCCTCTCTCTTCCTCTCTGTTTCTCTCTCTCTTTCTGAAATTGTCTACACTTGTCATTAATGTGACTATATATCCTCTACTTTTATTACTTTTGCTAGTTCTATTCCTACATGCTACTGTACTATTAAAATGCTGAAGTATTATATGGTTGTTTTGTCTATTGAATCCTAGGGCAAAAGAATTCATACAAATGAGTGACATATTTCTTTAACTTCTGGGAATGCGCTGACTTTGTATTTAAAGGGAACACTGGTACAAAGGTGTCATACTTACATGACATACTTTGTCATACTTAACATTTTTATTTTGATCCCAAACAGCATTGCTACTAGGTATTCTCAGCTCCATCTATGGAGTACCAGAAATACTGTCCGGTAAAGTCGTGCAGATGAGATGTTAATTGCATGTGATTTTCCTGATGATTTAAAATTGTGGAGTCCTGAGAAATATTCAAGACATAAAAATATAAAAAAGGGAAAATATAGTCATATTGTCTCCCTTCACAGAAATGTCAAGGATTTCTAGAGACACGGCATGGAAATTGGTCTGAGATTTTGATTTGTTGTTTAAAAAGCTTTCAAAACTTTTATATAAATCTTATAAATCAAAACTCCTCTATCTGATGAAAATGATTTCCAATACATGCTGATGCTTCTTCTATAAAATTTTTTCCAGGAAGGCTGGCATTCCCTTACTAAAAATGATTTTTCATGGAAGCTGTGAGGTTCAGCCAGTGCCCCTTCTGTATATTACTGGCCTTGTGTCTGGAAAGGGTTATTTTTTAGGTTCCCAAGGAAAGGCCTAAGTAGCCAGATGTAGGCTCTGATTCCACCTGAGCAGGAGGCCAGGCTCACGTGAAAATCTACTTCCTCCCTGCCCTAGGTGGATGGTGTGTTTTGAACCACTGAGGGGATGGTTCATGACACACGCAAACTGTACCTTAAGAAACACCTTTCATGCCTAGAGCATAGGAATTACTGTTCTCATTAGAATAGTCCCTGTGGAGGACTACGTGCTCTTTGTCTTTATTTTTTTCACAGTATTTTATGGTCTTGATAAAACTAAAAATAAATGACAAATTTGGCTTGACATCTCATTGATCAAACCTATTTTTGATGCTAAGGCAGTGTGACTAAGCGCAGCAAGAAAACATTACCCGAGTTTGATGGTATTGACTGTTGAGCAGAGCAGTTGGTATTCAAATCCCTAGAGTCAAGAAAACCTGTCACAGGTAACTTTTTTTGGGTAGTTTAAAATGCCAAGGCAAAGGTTGGAATGTCATCCGTGGAGAGTAACAAGAGATTTGAAGGAAATCTATATTAAACTGTTCTAGTACAGATTTATGCTATGTGGGAGAGTCAGAAATGTCTCTGGGCGGTTGTCAATGGAAAGTTCTCATCCAATTTCTGGGCAGCAGTTTTGGGGCCTGGCCCAAAATTTTCAACCTCATACCCTTTTTCAGATTCTTCATATTATAATATCTAGAAGATATGGGCTGCAATTCTGTCTTGGTGCTGACCAGTGATATGGGACCCAGGTGTGACTCTACTTACCCACTTCACCCACACAGGCCTTATATAAGAATCAAATTCACTTATGTTTGTGAAAGTGTGAGATACTACAAGAGTCTGTGTAGGTGTAAGAGGTTCTAATGTTTCAAGCAAAGAATAAACTTGCAAATATAAAGAAGTTGGAAGATAACCAATATCTTAGATAATTGGAGTTTTCTAAAAGGGAAAGTTACTTTGAATATTCTATCCCAATTTTTTTTTAAAGTGAGGATGGACCATTTTTGATGTTTACAGAAGAAAAGCTGTCACATTCTTGTGCTGATCTTTGATCCATTGCGGTTCAGAATGAAGGATCAGAGCTTTGACCCACCCAAATCTAAGTCACATTCTCTCGTTTATTTTAGTCTGACATTTTTCAAGTATTCATTTATATATCTTTATTTTATATTTAATTAATTTTTCTGAGTACTTGCCCTCCAAAAATTAAATCAATCTAAAATATACTAGATAGTAAACAATATTCTCAGATTATTATTTGTAAATAAGATAAAGTACATTGGAATAAGTTAAAATGACTTTAAAATATGTTATAATGTCAGCCCATGGGAATTAATTGTGGGGATTTTTTTTACTTCTCAAAAATAGGGTTTTTTGGTTCATCTTTTTTTTATTTATAAATTCAAGTAGCCAACTTATAGTACATCATTATTTCAGATCTAGTGTTCAGTAATTTATCAGTTGAGTATAACACCCAGTGCTCATCACATGAGGTTCCCTCCTTAATGCCCATCACCCAGTTACCCCATCCCCCACCCACCTCCCTATCCACAACCCTCGTTTGTTTCCTAGAGTTAAGAGTCTCTCACGGTTTTCTCCCTCTCAAATGACTTCCCATTCAGTTTTCCCTCCCTTCCCCTATGGTCCTCTGCTCTGTTTCTTATATTCCACATATGAGTGAAACCATATGATAATTGCCTTTCTCTGATTGACTTATTTCGTTAAGCATTATACCCTCCATTTCCATCCATGTTGATGTAAATGGTATTCATCCTTTCTGATGGCTGAGTAATATTCCATTGTATGTATATACCACATCTTCTTTATCCATTCATCTGTCGGTGGACATCTCGGCTCTTTCCACTACTAGGTATTCACCCCAAAGATACAAATGTAGGGATCCGAAGGGGCACCTGCACCCCCATGTTCATAGCAGCAATGTCCACAATAGCCAAATTGTGGTGTTTTTGTTTTCTTCAGGTAGATTTTTAACTCTTACCACCTACTTAGGAAAAAGGTTCAGGAAGTTATCTTCCTGTCTCATTCCTGCGCAGCACTGCCTGACTTCGGTGGTGTGTGTTCATTTTCAGAGCTGGAGGCCGAGGAGTGGTGCAAGCATCTCTGCATGGAGTGTCTGGGCACCCGGCTGAATGACATCAGCCTTGGCGAGCCCGATCTTCTGGCGGCAGGCGTACAGCGAGAACAAAATGGTGAGTGTGAGTTGCCTTCCATTACTTAAAGTGCCCTAATGGTTGTAGAACTTTGACACTGGGAGGGACCTTAGGAATGCTTCAGACCAATAATTTTTAGAAAAAAGTAACCTAATCCATCTGAGCTGTGAAGAGACTTTCCCAAGGTTGCATAGCAACCAGGAGAAATTCCTAAGGTACAACCCAGGTGTCCTGACCTCTTGCACTGTGACGTTTGCAATTTATCTAAATAAATAACTAATAAGTTAACTCACTAGATAGGGAGTTTTGAATGTACAACATTTCTACGTTTTCTTCTTTGAGAGTTGTTGTAGATTTAGAGTCTAAATTAACAAATTGGTTTATCATGTTACTTGTCAATAGATTTTAGGGAATTTGGTAATACCATGTCTTAGCTCAGGCTGCCAGAACAAATTACCATAGACTGGGTGACCTCAACAATAGGAATTAACTTCTTACAATTCTGGGGGCTAGAAATCCAAGATTAAGAGTTGATTTCCAGTGAGGTTCCTCTTTTTGACTTGCAGACAGCCATCTTCTCTTCTCGCTGTGTCCCCACGTGAGAGAGAGAGAGGGAAGGAGGGAGGGAGGGAGAGAAATCTGTCTCGGGTCTTTTCTCATACAGCACTAATCTCCCACTATGGGGGACCCACCCTCATGTTCTCATCTAAACTTAATCACTCCCAAAGATTCCATCTCTAAATCACCTCAGAGGTTAGAGCTTCAACATGAATTTTAGGGATGCACAATTCAGGCCATAGCATACTATAAGTATGCAAGGATGAAATATCAGGGTATAATAAAATTGAGGCTTATGTGATACACATTACTTACTATCCTGTTCTCTAACCTAAGAGGCATTTCTGAAATTCTGCATGTTCTTGCCTAGCACCTCTGAATCATGAAATCAGAGTAATGTGATGAGCTCCTTTTTCTTCATTTTTTAAAATAATTATAATCATCACTAGATGACCTAATAAACTAAATGCAAATAGAAACTTTTCAGTGTTGCTAATTTTTGATGGCCTTTTTGAAAAGATGGAGAGGCACTGGTGAAGCTTGCCACTAATTATTAAAAAGAAATCCTGGAATTATCTGTGGCTTATAAATTAGACAGCACAGCTAAAATTGCCCCAGGATAGCATTGGTGATCATGAACTTGTTATGACTAATAACATGCTAACAGCCATCACTGTTTCATAGCCCATTAAAAAGCATTATTTTATTGTTTGATGCTAACCTGAAAAAAGAAAAAAAAACAAGTTTTCCCTGTTAATTGGTCACAAACACATGTGGGCACAATACCTTTGCCGATACTGGCAGTTTTCAGAAAGTCACGGAGGCATTTCTGCAACTCTTCTTCCAGCTTTCATTTCACATTCCAGTTCTCTCCCACACTCTCCGGGATGAATCTCATCTCTCTGATCTGTTTCCTGAGAGCTTGTGCTACCTACAGAACATCCACAGGCATGCTGCTCACCCACCGTTTCAGAAAAGGAGGAAAGAAACTCTTACTGATAAACATTCGTAAAGTACTTCATAAAGGAAACATGGAAAAGGGAATAAATTAGGCCTGTGGGTGGGAGCATCACTGTGTGGCTCATTTAGTGTGAATTGTATGTTTTTAAAAGATTTGAGGTTGTATGGGCGCCTAGGTGGCTCAGTTGGTTAACGTCTGCCTTCAGCTCAGGTTATGATCCCAGGGTCCTGGGATCAAGCCCCGCATCAGGCTTCCTGCTCAGTGGGGAGCTTGCTTGTTCTCCCTTCCCCTCTGCCCCTTCCCCCCTGCTCGTGGTCAGTCTCTCTCTATCTTTCTCTCTCAAATAAATAAGTAAAATCTTAAAAAAGAAAAAAGATTTGGGGTTGTATATGGTTTCCACCAGGACTAATGGATAATGTACTTCTTTGGCTTATTATGAATTTATTTATATTTTTTTAGATTTTATTTATTTATTTATTTGTCAGAGAGAGAGAGAGCACAAGCAGGGGGAGTGGCAGGCAGAGGGAGAAGCAGGATTCCTGTAGAGCAGAGAGCTCAATGCAGGATTAGATCCCAGGACCCTGGGATCATGACCCAAGCTGAAGGCAGATGCTTAACTGATTGAGCCACCAAGAAGGCATCCCTATGAGTTTATTTTTAATTTCATAATAATGTCAGGATAATTTACTAAGATATATAGCACAAGCAGACACGGCCTGCCAAGTAAACTTTTCAGGCCACAGTCTGAATGCCTGCTATGCCCCTTACTTAGCTCGGAAAATTTACTCTCTCCTGATTTTAGTTTCCTAATGAGTGAAAATTAACTCATGATGGTTTAGTGAGGCGATGCAAAATAGTCTACTAGAGAAGATCTGAAATTATATTAACATGCAATGCCATAAATGGTTTTCTTAGCTCTATTTTGTTTAATAGTCCTAACTTCATACAAAGGGATAGATGTTCTTTTAAAAATACTTTTAGAAATTTATGAGCAATTATTTAGTTAGAGAAGGTAGTGTTTGGTTCTTCTAAATGACTCCCTAAAGGGGCGCCTGAGTGGCTCAGTCGTTAAGCGTCTGCCTTCGGCTCAGGTCATGGTCCCAGGGTCCTGGGATCGAGCCCCGCATCCGGCTCCCTGCTCTGCGGGGAGCCTGCTTCTCCCTCTCCCACTCCCCCTGCTTGTGTTCCCTCTCTCGCTGTGTCTCTCTCTGTCAAATAAATAAAATCTTTTAAAAAAATAATAATAAAAAAAATAAAATAAAATAAATGACCCCCTAAAAATACATGGTACCCTAGAAGGAGATCAGCAATCTTACTTAAACATACAACATGCACTGTCACTGAGACTCTTTAGCGTTCAGCATTAGGAGGAAACTTCATGAATGGAAGGGTCTCCTTTCCCTAGAAATCACTCTCCACTTGGTGAATTTCTTTTTGAGTCCCAAGGCCATAGACAGGGCCATTGCTCTAGGCTCTTCAAATCTGCGTACACTTTCTTTAAAGTGCCTTGGGTTCAGGTAATAACATCTTTCCTCTGTTCTTGGCCCCTTGAAGGCTAGCTAAAACTTTTTAAAATAGTCATTCATACCATAGGAGAACATGAAAAGCATAAATCTTGACAGAATATCAGGATTACAGGTTTTACTATTGATTGCTAGCTTAAAAATTTCAGGTGTGTGTATGTGTGTATACACATACTTGCTGCCTAGGAGAGAAACATACACAGATTGACCTACCCTGATTTTCTCACTCGCTAATCAACAGACTTCTCTTATAAATATGATAATTCCATTGTATGGTCCCCTTGAAATAAATACCAGTGGTTCTCATGGTAAAGACTAAAAATGGTCTTTGGCCAACTTCAGCCCCCACCCTTGGGTCCCATGGTTGCTTTAGGGACACACCTGTTCCTAAGACAGTACACCTGTTCATTTTACTATGTGTAAGGAAAGTACTTACTGTTTTAGCTAGCTTATTAAAGTCTTTCAAAAATAACATTATCTTTTAAAACTGTCCTTTCATGTCTTTCTATCACTATTCCAGACTCTTCAGGTATAACACTTCCTGAAATAGATAAAATTCTTCACTTCCTAATACATGTTTGAAATCATTAATATGTACAGACTTGAAAGATTTGTCATTCCAGATTCAGGTTTTTTTCTTAAGGTGTTTTAGTATTAAATTATATAATGTATTCTTCATCAGAAACATTATTTTACTCTTTTATCAATGGTGTGCTTGGATGTAATTTGGAATTTCTCCTAAGAGATGAGATCCATATGCCTGCAGAATTGATGTCAGAAATGACATTGTTGTGGCTTGGGGTGATCTTGTGGTACCCTATCATCAAGGAAAGACTCACTGCTCAGGCTTGACCACAGCATTTTTTTTTTTTTTTTTTGACATTCGGAATTGCTCCTTCTTTTCTAATGTTTTTCTGACTCTTCACAGAGCTTGGCCTTATTTACTCTGAGACCAGCTAAGAATAAACATTTGTGCAAATAATTTTTAAAGGTGTAATGTGTGTTGCTGAGATAAAAGTGGTTATCGATTAAATTCTTCGCTCTAATCATCTTTATCTATGCTGTCAGCTGCTTTCATATTGACTCAGAATCCCACATGGTATAGGAGAAAGTAAACACACACACACAAACTTATTCTTAGACCTCAGATAACACTGCCACAAGAAGTGTATATTAAGTCGACATTTGAACTTTAAATTCTTACAACTTCTAGAATCTTCACATCTTTCTGTAATATTTAAGGTAGCCTACACTAATCTTAAAATGTATGGTGTTACAATTAATGGTCATTTATAGAGAATTCACTATACATAATAGCAATTTTAGAAAACAAAGGTTACATGTTAATCATTAATAGCAGAAGTAAGCATCATAACCAAGAAGGAAGGCACTTGTAGAAAATTCCTGCAATTGTTGTTGGAAGCAGATTCAGAGGATATGTCCAGTTTGCTACTGATGCAAGAGATCACCATTTGGAACAAAATGGAAAAGTAACTCAGACTTTACCATCTGGTTAATTCAGAGTCAGATCTGAAAGTTTGGTTTTATCTAGTAACTAGTGTCCCTGCTTATGAATGGACTAGAATTGGTACAAATTTTTACTTTTAGCCCAAGAATGTGTATAACTTTCCTCCAGAAGCAAAGCAGTATTCCAGTGTTTTTTTCTGAATTATTTACCTGGGTTTCCTTAGTAACCATGCTTCTTACATTCCACTCAGACACTCTTGTATGTCATTCACTCATTCAGTATTCACCCATCAAACATTTTTGAGGCTGTGATATGCAAGAACTAGGCTGAGGAAATGTAGAATTATATAAAATATGGTCATTACTTTCAAGAAGCTCCCAAAGTAGTGAAGGAGACAAACCCATAAACAAGGTGCTTAAATAGATCATTGTGTTTTAAAATAACGCTGTGTTACTTGTCACACAAAATCTCAATAGCACAGACCTTTATCATTCATGCACAGATGGGCTGGCCAGGATTCTCCTGACTT